ACATATTTAGAAGCTTTTGTGCACCCTCTCGCAAACAAAGTGATACTCCACCTTAATATATTTTGTCCTCGCATGGAACAAGGATTAGTGGAGAGGTACATAGTTTCAATATTATCACACCCCAAACAAGCAGCTGTTGGCTACGGCACACCCAATTCACCAAGCATCTGCATTTGCAAGGTTTCATATTCAGCTTTATGTACTTGGCCGAGAACAGTAGCCTGTCATCAGGACATCCATGCATGTCGTGAGGACATCCCTCCCTAAAAAAAGGCACTGACCAAAGTAGACTCGGATCTGATACGGAGACCAAGAGAAATAGTGCCTCTTCAATACCCCTCCGTTCCAAAATATTTGTCGTGGTTTTAGTTCAAAATTTGCTACTATCAGCCACCATTTGTGGTGTTACAGATAATTAAAGCGGCCCTTTCTCAGAATTATGGTATTTCTATATATGAAGTACTTGGGAAACGAGAAATGAGTACAAAGTACTACCAGTCTAACAAAGAGGGCTGTATAGTCCATTCACCAAACCAATTGCCGTCTCTTCCTTAAAAAAAAATAAAGAATATTTCTGTAAACCCCATGGTACATTACGCAATCACGCATTTCCTGATTACAATCCACTCTAGGATGACCTGAATCATTCTACATTCACAATTTCACACCATCACCATGTACATCCACCATACAGAGAAAACTCGAGAAGAAATTAGAATAACCCGAAAATTTTCATTTTACGAGGTGGGGGAGGAGGTACCACGCATATACACCGAAATCGCCAGAAAAGTAGAAACTCGCAACAAAGATGTACAAGATTGCAAGACAGTACGCACAGGACCTCAGTGTTGCTGCAAGAACCAGACCATATCAACATGTTTCTTCCTAGGATTCAACTGAAAGTATCTCAAGCTCTGCCCACCAAAGCGGAGATAACCTCGGCGTTGCTGCCTCTGGTGAAATCGATAGCACTTCTCGCAATTTAGCGGTGACCTCTCTCATACTTGGTCTCTTTTTCGGATCACTCTGGATGCAGTCCTCGATCAACTCGCAAATGATATCTAGATCGTTTTCTTTGTGAGTCGTCAAGGTAGGGTCAAGCAAACAGGATATACTCCGGTCATCCTTAATGCACTCCATAGCCTGTGAGAAAAAAATGTGACATATATTGTTACTTCTATATGCCATTTTTGTGTATTATGTAAGTTTAAGTATTCAGTGTCTTTGTCATGCTTACTAAGTTCGCAAGAGAGCCCTCGTGTTCAGAATCTGGAGGCTTTCCTGATATGATTTCCAGCATGAGTAGACCAAAACTACATACATTCCCAGCTGGATCAGCACGTATTGGCTCATGGTGCTCACTGGCGTCGTCATTCTTGGGCATCTTTTCTTTGGAAATTACTTCTTGCCAAACACTCATGTCGGCTATCTGTGAAAAGGCTCGGTTTTAGGAGCAGAAACGAATATATATGGTGTCCTCATGCCTGGTCTTATTTAATTTGTTCAAAATTAACTCTAATACAAAGAGCGCACATGCACACCCTAGAAAAAAAATTCATATGAACTGGACGGTACTTCACCTTGTTTAGTTGCAGGGGTTTAGAACAAGTTGCATGTAATTTATGTTAGTTTGTCTTTTTTTGCATAATGTCCAGAAAAGGGGTTCAGAATGATGAAGTAACAGTTGTGTGCTTCAATTTCTTCCATTTGATATTACCAGAATTTTGTCTACAAATACAGTTCTCGTTTGGCACCCATCATTTCATTTTATTTGGCAAGTGAAATGACAGGGTTATGGATAGGAATTGACATAACATCCAATAGGCATTTGCTGGAATTCCAAATGAATGACATGTCCAATTCCATGATAGCCAAACAGGTTGGGTATGGAATCACAAATGAATTCCATGATTCCGGCTCAAAATGATGGCTACCAAACGACCTCTTACGAAATTTCCTTTGAAGATCAAATAAATAGAAGTTGTGAAATTCATAATCATGTACCTTTGCAGCTCCATCCTCGGATAATAATATGGCACTTGACTGTAGGCCAGGGTGTGTTATACAAGGGTTGAGCTCATGCATGTATTGCATGCAGTATGCTACTCCCATAATTACTCTCATCCTACCATTCCAATCAATATGATCAAATCCATCAACTGCAAAAGGCAAATCAAAACATTTTAATTTGAGCACAAAGACTAAACAGTAAGCATTCTAACAGTAGGATAGCAGTAGAAGCTCTTACCGTGGAGATGCTCATAGAGTGTCCCATTGGCTGCGTATTCTAACACCATCATCCTCATGAAAGGCTCCTCCTCCTCGCAGTATCCAAGCAAGTTGATGAAGTTCTTATGATTAATTCGTGAGAGCGAGTCTATCTATGTGTTGAAAAAAACAAGTTAGAAGAAATTATTTGTTTTAGATCCATATTGCAAATTGTAGCAACAGCATGGGCTATTCCTCTTATAAGTGACACTGAATTACCTTTTTCCGGAATCTCCCCTCGGAATGCTTTGACCAATCTTTGCTGGACGCAAGCACAGTTGATACAACTGCTATCTCAACTCCACTTGATAAGGTTCCCTTGTAGACGGTGTAGTGTGGATAGCTTGCCACAATGTTACTGAAGTCCTCACAAGCACCTTCCAGCTCTGAGCGTTGCAACTTGGGTACTCCTGCGGTACATCAGGAGAGCAAAACTTGTCACAGATGCCCAAGTAAGAGGCAAATCAAGCAGGCATTTGACAAGATAGCAAACAGAATATTTACCTGTCACAAATGCCTTCTGCAGCTGGCCACTGAGTCCAGTCTTCCATGGACCTATTGTTGCCACCGACTTATTGCGGCATAGCAAAAGCATGCATGCAATGATAATAAGCAACAGAGCAATTGATGGAATCACAATTGCATACAACCACTTCATAGATCTTGTTGACCCTGCTTCCGAAGGAGTATCAGAAGACTTGGGTGGAGTAACTGGAGGATTTACAGCAGGTGCGGGTGCTTTGGGACTAAATGCTGAAAACGATCCACTCCCCGTAGAAGGAACAGAAACTGAGGGTGGAAGAGGAGCATTTGCGAAAGGAGCCGCCGCAAGATTGCTATCCTGAAGTAGTCTGCGCCTACTAACCTGTGCAGCTGGGTTTCTTGCTGCAATTTGTGTAGGAAGACGTGCTGGGAAAAGTAAGAAGGCATATTATGGTACCAGCTGATGTATTTAAGAGCAAAACTGAACTTGCATAGCAGTACCCTAGCTTACCGGAGAGATTGCTGGTGTCTCTTTTTTTCTCCTCTGTGGAAGAACCAGACTCGAACCTACAAAGGTCCACATTCAAAAACTGCTATCATCAGCTGATAAATCCTTTTCCTAAATAGGTTATAGAAGAAAAATGATGATAACTAAATGAGAATTGATGAAAATCCTAGTTTCCTTACCCATCATCAGCTCTTTGATTCAAAATACCCCTCCCGAGATGATCATAGATGTCGAAATCAGTTTCCTGATCAAAGTTCCCATGGGAATTTTGGACCACGGGCCACTGAAATCTGTTGTTGGAAAGCAATCTGTCGAACAAGAGGCATCATATCATGAAATTTGGCTTGTCGATCAAATATTTCACAATGTTAATCAGTCAGACGACCTACAAATGCTTGAGTGATGCCATTTCTGCTATCTTCTGTGGAACTTCCCCAGTCAAGTTGTTATTGCTTAGGTCCAATATCTCCAACGTTGCGAGACCACCAATTTCCTTAGGTATCAGTCCACTAAACAAGTTGTTGGATAATATACTGCAAGAAGACACAGGAAGGAATCAAAACATTGTAATGGTTGCAGCAAATGTTATAGTCGCATGCAAAGTAAAATTAGAGTATCACAAGTTGCCAAAAGCAGTTGGTTAAGGAACAAGTGCTTGATTGATAGATGGACATCTTTTATGCTACTGAGTAAAATCGACACGACAGAGATTTCTTTGATTTTGTCTCATATTTGACCCACAGAGGTAAGCTGATATGCACACATCATTGTTCTATAAAGGATGGAACCTAACAGTTGTCGGTTGGTTAGATATATACACTTGAAATGTCCTAACTGATTGTTGGTTGACATTTTTTAAGCAAATTGACTTTGTTTAGATACTCATATCTGGCAAGAAACTTATGAAGGTAAGACAAAGCAGTAACCACTACAGAATTACCTATTTATCTCTTTACCATATTGCAAACAGATAGCTTAGCAAAAATACCAATATATTGTTGCTCATGGCAAGCAATTTATATTTGTTGCACAAGCATAAATACAAAATTGTGTACTTACAGAGCCTGCAGATGACTAAGACCTCCTAGTTCTGGACCCAGGGTACCTCTTAATGAGAGATCTTTTAGGTTCCTGCAAGAGTATAGTTCACAGTAAGTACAAACCTTAAGATGATAAATCAAGCCAGAACCCCTCAAAAATACTGAAATAGAACAAGAGTGGTAAAGTTGTGGTACACCGCAGGAATTAGAAGGTAATCTTGAATGCAAAACAGAATCATCTTGAATAACAAAAGATTCTATTAAAACATATGGAGTCACCATAAACTTTTCGACCTAAAATATAAAAACAAGTAGCGATGATGAGGTAAATGCTTGATGATTAACTGAGTAGAAAACAAACATTTTCCTTCATATGGTAAACTTCTAGATGAGGTGGCTGGCGTATGGAAGTCAACTTGGCACCAGAGCAACATATCCTGAGGGGTTCTGGACTATCATGTTTCGCTTACAAGATCTAGATGAGGTGGCACCAGAGCAACATATCCTAGAATTACTCCAAGCCAAGCACGCTTAACTTTGGAGTTCTTTCCGAATGGGCTCCCGGAAAAGAAGGAATTCCTTGTTGATATGAGTAGTCTCTCATTCCTATTAAGCCAGGCTCTCACATGCATAAACCGCCTTCATAAAATTTTCTAGTGTTCCTACTTGTTTGGGGGTTGCAATTTCTTTTCTTTTTGTTCAGCTTGGTGGTATCATCGGATAGACCTTGATTCTCTTTGTAATGAAGAGGTGTGCAAAACTTTGGAACATTCTCTGAATAATAGGAGGTAAAATCTTGAAGACGGGTCACACGCGAAAATCTATGATATAAACATAAGCTATACTGTGCCAACCAGTGATCTTATATAGGCTGAGTACAACATTCTGTTGATGATGATTCACTTGAACAAACTTGCCAAAAAAAATCTAATCAAGCTAGCTAATAAAAGGTAGCCCCCATTTTGGACCTTCAATGTTATTGTATAAGAGCATCTCCAATAGATGGTCCAAACTTTGACGGTCCAAGACCGGAGATGTAAAATTTGGACCGCCAAAAAGTGTGTTTGGGAGCTCCGAAACAAGGCCAACTCCAACAGATGGTCCAAATTCATGGTCCAAAAGAGCAACTCCAATAGATGGTCCAAATTCATGGTCCAAAACCGGCCAGCAGCCGCGGGGAATTCCGTCGAACACCTTGTGCGCGCGGTGGAAGAAGATGGCCGCCGGTTGGATTGGCTGCTGCTGATGGCTGCGGTCGGCTCCGGACGGCGGCGGTGATAAGAAATGAGCTTGGAGGCCGGCCAAGAGGAGCTCGGCGGGCGGCGAAGAATAGTTCGGCAGCCGGGCGGGGGGCTTGGTGCGGCGGTCGTGCGGCGGGCGCAACGGCCGTGGACAGGCTCACGGCTGACGGGAAGGAGGTCGGCGGCAGCCTAAGACCCGGCGGAGGCCTACCGCGGCAGCCGGACCGCCGGAGGCGCCCAATCCCGCGCCGGCTGCCTCCCGATTCGGCGGCGGCCGGGCGGCTGCGAGCCGGCTACCGGCGAGGGAGGCGACGGGGGCGACGGCGGCGGAGGGCGTTGGCGCCGACGGCGAGGTTTTGGGCGGTCGCGGCGGCGGATTCCGGCCGGCTGGTCTTCGGGCGGGCGGACGGGCGCGGGCGGGAAAGGAAATGAAGTGGCGGTTGGGCGTTCGCGGGCGGCGGCTGGTTTTGGACCAGATGCACCTCGTGATGTAAATTTGCACCGCGAGGTGTTGTATTTTACATCACGAGGAGGCCGCGGTCCAATTTTTTTTGCATATGGACCGTCTGTTGGAGCAGCATTTTTTGCCCCAGGCGGTCCAAAAGTTAGGTACTTTTACATTTGGACCATCTATTGGAGATGCTCTAAGCCAACAGTCTCACTTTATAGGTCAAGAATCCCACATCACAAAATTGAGAATACCAGCAGCAGAAGAAACAAATCATAACAACTTAGCTGTAGCGACTTGTTCGTGTTGGTGGAATGAACAAGTAGTTCTAATAACCAGATTTCTGATTGTGTTAAAGCTTCATATAAGCTTGTGAAAAGGCTTCCAGCTACCAAAGAAAACATTTTCTGGGAATTTGCGAACAATGCATCCATGGTAAATTCAAGATAGGCGAGAAAAAAAAAATCCTTAAGAGTTGCTCCTTATTCAGCCCAAAGAAGTAGTAGTATATTTTAGGAGTACTAATTTTTCAAGAGTATATATTCAGTATAGTATTTACCAAAGAAACCAGAGTTGGTCATTTATGTACATAATATTTCATTTTCCTTATTCAGCCCAAAAAAGGGTACCACTCCTGAAAATGAAATATTTTAGGAGTACTAATTTTTCTAACTGCTATGTAGAAAAAAAATACGAATGCACTCCTAAAATCCTTCATAATATCTAGTCCGTTAATGGTTGAGCCTCTTTGCTTCTACCTTCTCTGAATTGCTACACAAAGCGGAGACATGCTTGTGTTGACAGTAACTCAATAGACTCAACTGATGCATTTAGTACTCAAGAAAGTCAAACCACGATAACTGTGAAGGAGAAAACTAGGAATAAAAGGGGCAGTTGCCGATGCAGCATCCATTCAACAATAAATCAACACTAAAACAACTCTTGAAGAGAGAAGGATACAGTCAAATGGAAGACCCGTTAAACAGAAGATGAACTGCATTTCCATTTTCCAAATAGACTCATGAGCCACTAGTAAACATTGAGGAGGAAGAAAACAAAGAGGAAATCATCCAACTCACAGCATCACAACCCTGTCATCGGCGCAGCGGACGCCGTTCCAACCGCAAGGGTCGGCGTCCCGCGCGCTCCAGCCTGCCATGGCGCCATGCGGATCCTCCTCCACCCTAGACTGGAACTTGAGCAGCGCTGAGCCTGCAGCACGAGCACCAAAACCCCAATCGATCAGCCACACCAGAACCCCAAGAGCTCAACCCCCAAAAGCACCAAAAAAGAAAACAACACCGGCGAGCTGTCTGCCCCCTACCTTCAAGGTTGATCGCGGAGCAGCCACAGCAGACGCACTGAAGCGCCAGCGCGACAACCGCGCAGTAGAGCAGCGCGTCCATCTCCCACATTTCCACTGGCGCGCGGCGGCTCACATGATCCTCTTGGCGAGCCTCTTGAGCAGCCTGGAGTGCATGGTCAGGCGCGAGGGACGCCCATGGCGTGGCGCGGCGCCTACCTTAACCCTTATTGGCACGGCAGCAGAGCAAAGCCTGACGACACGCTCCCGCTCC